TACCTCAGGAAAAATATACTTTTCGGCCCAACTTGCTCTGAATTCAGATCCATTCGCGCTGTTGGATTCGTCTCGTCGAACCCTACACAACGACATATTTCTTAAGATTTATTGAGAATTATTTTTAGTTAACTCCGGATCCGTATCGGTAATTAATTAATTAATTTCTAATTAATTAATCCTGATAGGCTGGGTTTCAGAGCGTTGCATCACCATCATTATTTACACCTACTACCATACAACCACCATTTGGGGATGGGGCATCCTCTTCACACGCTCCACCGCCCATAGTTCTGCGTGATACCCTATTTGAGGACTCTTTTTGCAGTTGACTCAGAAGGATGAGATACAAGATCCTTATTCAATATTTTCATTCAATATTATATTTAAAATGTTAAACCATCAAAATACAGAAACCAACATACAACAATTACAACATAAAATTCCAACATGAAGAACTAAAATCATTTAACAAACCAACGCAACCACCACTTCTAGCTCGAATATTCACCCACAAAAAAACCCAAAAAAACCTCATACCAACCATGCTTATAGCTGTAAACCAACACGTACAAACCACATTATTAAAATAACTAAAAACTCATTACTTACAACAACTTCACTTAAAAAACATTCAACTTCAACAACTTCACACCTTTCATTCCACTAAACAAAAAATATACAATGTCATCTTACAAAACAATACCAAACACAAAGACAAATACCAAGCTTACTCTACTACTCTAACCACTAACACCTACACCTACACAACACAACACAAAACACAAGAAAAACTTACAATTCCCAAGCATCACCACAAGATTATTCTGACACCAAGCCCTAAAAACAAGCCCGTGCGTAGCATGGGGTAAAGAACTAGTGGCTCGTAATTCACATTCTTTTATTTCACTGCCATCGAAGATACTTTGATCAGTCATCTGTAACATTATTTTAAAAAATCTTTCACGAGTTAGTTAATTCATAACATGTTATATACCTTTTAAAACAATACTAATTCACATCTCCAAAAAACACAAATGACACATCAACCAAATATAATTCAAGTACTAAAGGCACTTTATATAACAATAACAAAGAAATATCTTGTTCTAGAAAAAATTACTCAGCAATTAACATAAGTGAAAAAAAATTAACTCACGGAGTTAAAATTCTCTAACATAGAAAAGTAGTAAACATAACCTACAAAAAAAATTGGAGTTTTTGTTTCCAAATAAACTAGTAAAAGTCTGAGCTTCATTTGTTGTTGTTTCACCTTCTTCGACTTTGAAATACCAGATGATAAGTCCATTATTTGTGCATATTTAATTATCTTTTGATAGACTTATTAACTTGAATTGTAATATAATTTGAGGCTTAATTGTGAATCGTTCCTTAAATATGTAAATTTGGACTGATTTGTGGTAATTGGTTGATTTTAGGGTCCATTTTCATAGAGAAGGACTGAATTGCAAGGAAATTCAATTAATGGGGGTCAATTTACAAATTTAAAGAGTAGTCAAATTGGAAGATGCCAGGCGTTCTTTTTCGTCGACATTGGCGACCCGATTTCCGACCCGGACCCAGACGAGAGCTTTGATTTTCGATCGAGATTGGACGCACAGCAGCAGCCACCAGCCTCTTCATCGACGGAAGCCCACATCCTCGCCGGCGACCCTCAGCAGCGGCGACGGACGGACCGGCGACTAACAGTCCCTGCTCTAGACCTGCACAGCCGACGATTGTCAACATCCACACCAGAAGCCGAAACTAGAAATTGCAGCCCAGCTCCCTCCAGGCCAGCGACGACCTCCGGCGAGCTTGCAATGGCGACCTCTGGTGAATTCCTGGGCTGTGGCTGACGCGGAACGAAGAGCAGAGGCACTGGCTGCAGATCCAATTCCATTTAAAGTGTGAAATTTCAGATTTGCCCCTGATTCTTTTCCTTCCTTATTTTCTAGTGTGTACCTTTTATGTCATTTTACTCCCATTTTTCTCCTACTCTATATATACTCCCATAGCTCCAATATGTCAAGAGAGCTCCCCCATTTGTAGGCTAGGGTTTATTTTCCTTCATCATCTTCATCATCTTGTATTTTTAGTATTGGGAGCTCCATTACTTTAATTTCATCTCTTTAGATCATTCTACTTAATTTTGCATAGAATTTACTTCATTTCTTTCATTCTTTATCTTTATTTATTTGCTTCTCTCTTATCTTTTCATGCATCTCTTAGATTTGGCTCTCTCATTTAGATTAAGCATGCTAGTGATGAATTGTTGATTAGTGTTTGTTGTTGATGGATTAGTGTGAAGCATGAGATTTAAAATTAGGGATGTTTGTGGTGTAACGCCCTGCAACCCGGTCTAATAGAATTGATTGTTTAAATAATTAATTACTATTCCACATCGGAGTTGGGGAAAAATAAAAGTTCTTAGAAAAATTATTTGAACATGTCATTAAATTCGTTTTGACTGTCTGACTCCGGAAACGCAAACGGATCTCAATTCGGACTCGTTCGGGGGGAAACCGCGTACCGTTGAGGTCAGATTTTACATAACGGAGTAAAATTTAGGTAATTAATTCCCCATTTATGCTTACACGCCACTCCCATCTCCATACCATCCATTTATCCACAATCACTCCCCCCATAAACTCTGCATTACTCCTCATCATTATAATAGCTCTCCCCCCTTCATTTCCTTAGTAATTTGTAACTCCCATTCCATAACTCCCACAGCCTCACAATTCCCTCTCTTGTTCGGCCAAGGCAGCAGCCTAGGGAAGGTCTCCGGCGAAGCTCCGGTGGGTGCACGGTTGGGAAGAAGGAGGAGGAGAAGAGCTAGGCCGTTCGTGTGAAGCGTAGTCGTCGTTCATCGATTCATTCGTCACCTCCGTAGTTTCGACGCATCTTTTAGAGGTGAGTAGTTGTCCCCTCTAATTCTAGAACATTTAGTTATAATCTATGTCGTTATATTCATAGGAATATCGTACGCAACCTACGTAGAATCTATGCATGTTCGTAGGTTAACCATCAAAACGTTCACTACGTAAAACTTATATATATTGGCCTAGGAATCACTAGGAATATATTCACCAATGGTTGTATTATTGTTCTGGAAAGAATCAGGGTATTAAGTTTGCAAAATGGATCAAACATAGCCAAGGACAGAAGACTGTCATCGGGACGGTCGACCGTCGCTTTGGACGGTGGACCGTACCCTCAGCCAATCCAACGGTCACCACCGTGACGGTCAACCGCCAGCCACGACGGATGACCAAGGTGGACCGTCTGTGACCCAGACCCAGACCGCATCCCATGGTCGACCGCCGGTAGGGCACGGTCGACCGTTCCGCGGGCAAATTTTCGGGCAGTTTGTAGAACGAGCCCCGTTGACCATATTGACCCAGAACCTAATTGTATGTTTGCATGAAATGTTAACCTTCATTATGTATGTTATTTAATTGATATATTCTTGGCGTTGACCAAAGGTAAATATATCAAGCATTCATCACGTTTATTCTAGACGCATGTCCTAGGTTTTCCATCATGTGCATACCGTTGTAGGGAGGTCAGGCTTCCGTGCGCCTACTACAGTGGGCCCGTCTAGGAACCTTTGGGATCCAACGGGTTTTCATCAGGTGGGCTTTGTGTACGTACATGGTAGTCAGGTTACGGCTACCACCCGGTTTTGCTAGTCCACTTGCGACATCTTCGTCGAGCCCGGCTCATTACCGTTTTGGGTATGATAACTGGAGTGCAGGGGTGATCCCGTCAAGTGAGACTAAGCCAGGGGTGTCCCTGATAGTTTAAGTCATGCATCAAGTCGTATCATCATCATGTATGTTCCACATCACATCCACATTCAAAGAGGTAGTATATCATTTTGCTATGTGTTAGTACCCCATCGGGTGCAAACTGAGCAGGTAGTAAACATGTGGTTTTCCGTACGCTAAGTACATGTATTAATATGTGTATAACCATATGGGTTATCACTTTATGTTCTTTTGTTAGATTCACTCCTCAACTTTTGCTGAGCGTATAGTTGTTTTTGCTACACGCAGGTAGACATGACGATACAGGTGCTAACCCTGGAGGACAATGATGATGGGAAGATGGGCGGCGCACGGACGAGTTTAATAATTATATACATTTAATTAATTAATCATTTGGGCATGAACCCACCACATGTTGTTTTACTTATTTTGGACTTGACTTACTTATTTACTTCCGCTTTACTCTGCATTTATATCACACACGTTTTGGGGATAATTCCCTAGCATTTATTTCACCAATTAAATACAACCGTTTTCGTAATAAATAGACATTAATGTTTTCGCTACGGACGGTTCTCGGACCGCCCATGTAACTCTACCGGTCCGTTGGGTCGCGGGTGAATCGGGTCCGGGGGAGGCGGGTGTTACATGTAGAGATTGTTCTATTCATTGTTTGGATGTCGTTGTTGGCCGAAATGGCATTCTTGTGTTCTGGAGTGGGTTCTAAATCACCGAGGAATTGGGATTTAGACCCCTAGCCACGTGTCTCTACTCTCAAGTCCTACCACGAAAGTGGAGAATACTTGAGGAGCTTGTTTTACGTGTTTGTAGTTCTCTTGAGACGAGCGGCACGGAAGTGGGTTCTTATCAAGAGGATTCTTTCTCGATTCTCACGGAAGTGAGCATCGAGGTGATTTGCTCGCTTCCTTGTTGATTTCTCATCTTCCTCTATTTCGTTGGCAATTGCATTGATTAACATGAAATCTCCTAACCTAGGCTTGCTTTTCATTTATCGCTTGCATTTCATTTTTGTTTGTTTGTTGCATTAGTTTACTTCATTGCACTTGCAATTTGTTAGACATATATGGAAAGAAGTCTAGTTATAGTAGAATTGTTATTTATGTTAGTTTACTTATTTGGTGAATCCTAGTCCATGTAGGGATCCTCACCTGTATAAACATCCATGTACACAATTATTCCTTAAGAGTGAATTCATAAATCAACATGGTATCAAAGCTCAAAGATCCTTTTTTCTCTCCTCCCTTGCTGCGTTAATCATCAGAAAAAAAATCGGCAGAGCCGAGCTCTCCGATCACGCCGTGCACAGCCATGGCGTCTGTCTCTCCTGATCCTATGGATCGTCTCCCTACGGGTCTCAAGTTGTTTGTCCGGAATCTCCAATCTCTAACCCCAGTCAAGCTTGATGACACCAATTATCCCTCTTGGTCGGCCACCGTACGTGCAAATCTCCTCGCTCATTGTCTTCTCGGCTATGTGGATGGATCTGAACCGTCTCCTCCGTCTCTTATTCTTGATGAGAAGGCTGCGTCACCGGGAAAGGATGAACCGCCGGTTATGAAACCAAATCCGGCCTATGAATCCTGGCATAATATTGACGCTCAAATTCGGGCATGTCTCCATGTTATTGTCTCACCTACGATTCAGACACATATTCATGCTCTTCCCACCTCGCTTGCGATTTGGAATCATCTAGAACAACGGTACAACTCTCTTTCACGAACTCATATATTTCAGCTGAAGGAGCGTCTCCATGGTGTTACTAAGGGGACCGATTCGATGCAGACCCATTTGGACACGGTTCTCACTATTGTGTCGTCTCTCAAACTGGCTCATGAAGAAATCTCTGAACAAGATATTATCCTTTGTGTTCTACGAGGTCTACCGGCCGACTATGCCTCCCTCAAGCAAAATATTCGCACCAATCTTGCCACCGTCACCTTTAATCAGGTCTCCTCTTGGTTGCTGTCTCAAGAATTGAACTTATCTTTTGAGAAAAAATTGTCTCTGGGTGACTCCGGCTCTACTTCGTGTGTTGACATTCATAATGCTCTCTACACCAATTTCGGACGAGGCAATGGTCGGGGTCGTGGCCGTGGACCACAACGAGGCCGATGAGGGCCTTACCGCGGCAGTTAGCCCGGCGGCAGAGGCGGCCAGCAACCGCAGTACCGCGACGATGCACGCGGCAGAGGAGGTGGCCGGGGGTCCATCACGTGCCAACTTTGTGGGAAGCCTGGCCATGCGGTTTGGAATTGTTGGCACCGCTACGACGAATCATATGCTGGTCCTCCACAGGCGTTCTATGCAAATCAGTCTGCTAAATCTAGTTCGAACTGGCATCTGGACACTGGCGCAAACACTCATGTCACGCCTGATTTGTCTCGGCTGCATACTTTGACTCTGTACCATGGCACCAATTCCATCACAACTGCAGGAGGTAACACCTATCTCATTGACCATACAGGCTCAGGTATACTCACCACCCTTCTCCACACTTTTACCTTAACCAACCTTCTCCATTCCCTTCACATTAACTCCCATCTGCTTTCAGTCCATCAATTTACTAAAGATAACGGTTGTTCTCTTCTTTTTACCTCTAAGGATTTTACGATTCGGGAGAATCTCACCAACTAAGTTCTTTTCAAGGGCCCTTGTGAGCGTGGTCTGTACTCCATACCGGCATCTTCCTCTTCTCTGGTGGTCAACTCTGTCAAAGTCACTCCGTTTCAATGGCAGTGTCGTTTTGGTCATCCCTCAGCTTCAGTCACTAAGTCTTTATTGTCTCAATTAGGTTTTAAATTTCAGCATCTTGATCATTGTAATTCTTGTTCTCTTGCTAAGTCTCATAAACTCCCCTTCCCTGTGTCTGAAACTAAAACTTCTACTCCTTTATATTAATTTTATTGATGATTATACCAAGTTTTGCTGGTTGTACCCTCTTAAAAATAAATCTGATACATTTGATGCTTTTCTTAGTTTCCAATCTATGGTTCAAACTCATTTCAATGCACGCCTTAAGCTATTTCGCACAAATAATGAGAGGGAATATGTCAATAAAAAAGTTTGGTCTGTTTTTACAAAATTTGGGGGTTCTCCATCAAAAATCTTGTCCTTACACTCCTGAACAAAATGGTGTCGCTGAAAGAAAGCACCGTCACTTGGTTGAAACTCTTGTCACACTTCTTTGTATAGCCAATCTCCCAGCAAAATTTTGGGTTGAGGCGTTGGCTACTGCAAATTTCCTGATCAACCGCATGCCAAAAAGGTCTCTTAATCACAAATCCCCTTATGAGTCTCTGTTTCACAAAGCTCTAGACTACAATCTTCTCCGGGTTTTTGTGTGTTTGGCTTATCCGTGTCTACGTCATGAAATAACAAATAAATTCCAACCACGGTCCAAACCCTGTGTCTTCCTTGGGTACGACTCCTCGTCAAAACGATATCGCTGTTTTGATCTCTCCACGGGTCGTGTATACATCTCTCGTCATGTCCAGTTTCAAGAGAGTCAGTTTCCATACTCCACCGTCTCCACACACACAGGGTCTTCCGTCACATCTCCATCATCCCTTGGTGTCCTTCCCATTTTTCCGGTTGAATCGCTTTGTACTCCGCTCCATGCTCACAAGGATACAACACCCAACCCGCCTAACCCTCTCTCGGCCCTACCCACTGTCCCAAACCCGAACCCTAACCCGAACCCCAACCCCCTCACTGCCCGTACCCCAGCCATCC